CACATGGAGGTCCATTGGACCGCCGTGAAACGTATCATGCGATACGTGAAAGGCACTGTTGGTCATCGTTTAACTTATCGATGCGATGCAACGGAGCCTATTCACGGATATGTTGATGCTGACTGGGGAAACAACGAAGACGATCGTCGCTCTTATTCCGGATACGTATTCCTGTTGTCCGGAGCAGCGGTGACTTGGTCATGCAAGAGACAAACAACAGTCGCTGCATCAAGTACTGAAGCCGAATACGTCGCGATGTCGTTTGCAGCAAAGGAGGCTGTTTGGCTAATACGTGTGATTCGCCAATTCGGTGAATTGAAGAATGTCACCATCAAGTGCGACAATCAGAGCGCTATGGTTGTCGCCAGCCATGAAGCATACAGCGCCCGTACGAAACACATCGACATTTCGTACCATTTTTATCGCCAACTTGTCGCAAGCGGACTTCATCCTGAAGTATGTACCATCCTGAAGTATGTACCATCGGCCAGCAATATGGCCGATATGTTGACGAAGCCAGTCGGCAAAGGCGAGGTTGAATCCGGGACTGGCGGACTTGGATTATTGAGTGTGCCAACGGTGAGCCAATAGAGTGGTAATGAACGACATGAATTTTTTTTGGACCTTAAGCCACATTCTTACAATATTGTTTCACCAAAGAATTGAATTAAGCTTTTTATTCACCGATTGGCACAAGTTGGGGTGTTGAAAGTGAGAGCACTGTGAACCGGACCTAATGAATAGTAGTTCGTTCCTCCGCCGCCGCCCGCCCTCTACATGTTTTAGTTCTATATAACGGACACTGTCTCTCGAATGAACGTGCATGAAGCACACAGAAAGTTATTTGCTCAAAGTGTTTATTCCATTATTCCTTCCTCGACTGGAATTTCCACTCATATATCAAGATAATTTAACATCATTTTAATTTAGGTTTTAATCATTACTTTGTTACACGGAGAAAACACTAATGATATCACTTAGCCAATTATTGCACATGTGAGGTTATTTTTCGCTATGTATAAAAAAGGGTTGTAGAAACCATACCCAGCGAGAAATGACTCGTCGATCAAAACGATGTCGAATAGACTTTCAATACCGTCAAATTCTTGGTCAAATTAATGTCGCATCGACGTCAACTTGACAATGTCGATGTCGATTCGACATTGTTTCAACAAATTATTTCTCACTGGGTAATACTCTCAAAGTCAAGCTCAGAGTGATACACTGGCCTCTTGCTGACCTATGCTGCCCATCCATAAGCATTGGAATAAAACTCTTACTGTTAGTGCTGCATAACGCAACAAAATCCTAAGGATTTCTCAACTATAGTATTTGTTCTGCACATCGGAGAGATAGTCAATATTCTTAATTACTGTTGAAGTAACTCATACAATGAGATACATACATTGAGAATGTACCAACTAAAAATTGCATATCACAAGAACTGCGGCTGTGAGAAGTATATTGGCAGGTGACAACAGCAATTTTTAATGCAATATCTTGAATTTACATAACTTTGTTTTATAATCATAGAGAGTATAGATGTGTAGCAACCATAGCAGACAAGCAGTTTTCTCCGTGTACTTACATAAAAATTAGATAAATATTTGTATTAAAATTATATACTTACTTTATTTTGTTTTCTCAGCCATACCATTATTAAGGCATAAAGACTGTCATGCTCAATGTTCAAATTGATGTCAACGGGAATGTCTGGATTTGATCCATGCTGCAAAGAACTCGGCGAGAAATCTTCATTTTGAGAATCACTTGCCGTTGGACTTGAATAGACTTTTCGTTTCTTATTCGTAGTGGAGTTCGTGCTTGTTAATTTTCGGGGTTGATTATTGAATTTTCCAGGTCTTAATTCAGGCGTGAAATACATTTTATCCGTAGAGAGCTTGTTAGCAACGAATTTCTGTATTTCACTGAGTAGTACCCTATGTCCAGTTGAAATACGGAACTCGCTAGGACAGATATGATATTTGTCGAAATAGTCAGTATGTTTTTCGCCCTCTTTTATAAACTTGAGCATTTCTGTTCTACCAAAGAGTTCCAGTTCTTTAATATTATCTATCGTCATTCTATGTATGGCGATGGTTGTGTCATATCCTTCAAGACGCATGATATTTTTTAAGTATACGGGAACTTTCAACCCTATTCCCGTTTCTATAATGTGCCACATTGTAGCCGTAGTAATTTGATCTTCTTCTTGAATTTCGGTCTGTGTCCCAACATTAACGTAAATGAGATCTTGCTTGCCGCCTTCTTCTCGGTCACTTTTCTCGCCATCCATCATACTTCGATTAGAAAACACAAGAAAACAAGTTTTAAACAGGAATGTTTAAAAATCCTTTTAAAAGATTATGCAAGTAGTACACTTATACCTATTATAAAAAAATTATCTTACCGAAAAGTGTCTAGTACTTTACGCACTGACCTTGCTATTCAAAATAGGTATGCCAGTTGTGCTTGCAGTTGTGGATCTTAAACTCTGATCTATATAGAACTAGAACAGAGAGAGTGACTGTGAGAGTGAGAGTGAGAGTAAAGCTGGTCAGAAAACGATCCGTAAACGCTGAAGACTGGCTTAGTCATAGACGTAGGGCAAGGCAGAGAGAAACGTAAGTCGTGAAAGGCTATTGTATACGACTTACGCTTCTCTCTGCTTTGCCCTACGCGCATATATACGACTTACGTTTCTCTCTGCTTTGCCCTACGTCTACGACTGAGACAGTCTTAGAGCCAATTTCACAAACGTCGGTTAACTGTTAACCAGAGTTCAGTCAACTCCCTATCTTTTTCTACCTTGTTCTCTGAGAAGAGACAGAGGATTGGTTAACCTTCGGTTAGCAGTTAACCGACGTTTATGAAATTGGCCCTTAAGCGTTTACGGATTGTTCTCTGCCATCAGCCTAAGAGTGAGTGCGTGCGTGCGTGCGTGCGTGCGTGCGAGAGAGAATCATACATTAACCTGTACAGGCGGGTATCTTACGTGTATCGATACCACTGAAATCACGAGACACGGTAGTGTCTCTCGCCAAGTATGAGTCACTAGAACCACGCGCGCGAGACCGACCGTGTACGTTTACGCGAGTACGCGAGTTGACAGGTCCTCAGATTTTATATACTAACTGGAAGAACGCGCGCTAGAACCGAGTCGTGCGTACCTTTCCGTCCCCTCTCTCGACCACCCTATAAACCAGACAATGACAGACGCCACTCGACGATGCTCTCTCTCTGCCCGCACGAATCGCTTGTTCTGCAGCCGCAAGAGGATTTTTCCCGATCATAGGGTCGTGGCGCAGCGGCGCAAGCGAAATAAACTAATTTTATATCCAACGCCTGCGCCTGAGCTCTTGCGCCGTGCCTTACGCCTTGTAGACGAGGCTTAACACTTTGAGACTAATATAACCTTTATACTTGTTACTTAACTGAAACAAAGAATAATCGAGAGCGAGCGTTAATCGATAGGTTGAATCGACACGACCGAGCTAGAGATGTTTTAGATTTCATGGTGATTATACATGATTTTCAATGATAACACGGAAATTCAAAATAATTTCTGCTGACTATACTATATATGATTTCATTATGATTTCTGGTGATTTCCATAATTTCATTGTGATTTCTGGTGATTTCCATGATTTCATTTGACTTCATGATTACATCTGATTGCAAAATGATTACATGGGGATTTCATAAGGATTTCATAATGATTTCGGGGACACAGGATTGCATCAAGTGGTTACCCTCTTGACTCGCAGGACCGACCGGCGCGTGTCCCTTCCCGAAGGCGAGTCAGGCGAGTGTCGCGAGTCCTGCGTCGACACGTCGACGATCGTCAAAACAATTGCGGCTCACTCTTACTGCGCGTGATTGTCTAAAAACATTCGCGGCAACGCCGCGCATTAAGGCCCGTATTCACATAGTCCATTCTTATTTCAGGATCGTTTTCAATAATATATTAATATGCTAATACGGCTTTGCAATACGGCGATTCTTTACATTGTAACGTACGTGTAAATCAGCATAAAACTTTCAAATTAAAACTTTTAAATCTAAAATAAATGAGAAGAAAAATTATTGAACTCTTACAGTGCAATGGGCATACCAATGATATTGATTAATAATCAAGTTTCTCCGTGGGAGACATCGCGATCGTCTATCGTATTACAACCCGAGCGAAGCAGATACCATGGTAGCAGGGATAACTGTTGCCAGGGTGGTGTTTCGAACAGAGAACACCTTCCTCCTCCACTTAAAATATCGTGGGGGGATTCAACTATAAATATAAGGAGAATCTTCGGGACGGAGCTGTTCAGCAGAGTCTTTAGACCTCAGTTCAGTTCAGAGTTTAGAGTCAGACAATTTTAGATTAACAGACCTAAGACTTAGTTGTTTTAACTGTTGATTCGAATTTATTCCGATTCAAGGAATTGATAATTCTAAAATAAAGTAAGCTTTAGTATTAATTAACAACAATTCATTTCAACGAAATCCTCCATTTCATCTGATCGCTGCCTAATTGTGTGGCGAATAGATTTCCTAAGTCAATTTGATCGCTGCCTATAGAGTGGCGGACAAGGCATCAATCTCCTACCTTTATCCTTATGACAAGAAAGAAAGGCGGAAAACGCGTACAACTCAAGAGAATTAAATACCAAATTAAGGAAGCCTTATCTTCTAACCAAGATCCAATTTCCCGATTTAAAAAACTGCATAAATTACTATCTGAGATAGAAAACTGTTAAGATCGGTTTCAGGATCGGATGTGCGGTACGGATTGTGATAGTAAGGCGAGAGTAAGTAGAAGATCTGGTCTCTTTATTTGAGTACAAGGTAGTAGGTTATAGGAATCGTGTGTTTAGCCTCTAGCTGTAGGCTGACGACTGGCCCACCGCTCGCGCAGGCGCCGCACCTTGAGAGTGGCGCGTCCGTCAGCACGGCAGGGCAGCGCGTGTACGTACGCGGGCCCCAACATCTCCCTCCTTTGGAAATCACAGCTCGGAGTACGATTTGATTCTCGGGTCCAAAGCCAGTCTCTTTGGTGGAGCCCGCATGCGGGTGGATCGTCTTGGAGTTGTGACGACTGAAGCTTCTTCGTGGGCCCTGTTGTTCGGATCCTGGGTCCTGGGAGGCGTTGGTGGTCCTTCAGTGATCGGAGCCATAGGTTCTGGAGCAGGTTCTGGATCAGGTTCTGGAGCAGGGTCTGGATTTGGATTTGAGATAAGGTCGGCGTTCATCTCAGTGTCTTCTGCCTGACCTGGTGAACGGTCGATGGTTCCGCCTTTCCAGATGTGGTTGATGTGTCTTTCGACGGTTTTGCCATTATCCAGGCGTACACCGCAGCGAACCTCAGATATGAGTTCAAGGATGCTGCCTAGCTCACGCTTTCCGTTTCGAGTGTGTACCACGACGCGATCTCCAACTGCAAGCTGCCGCTGACGGGCGCCGTGATGTTTGGCAAACTGATTTTCCATATCTGTGCGTTTTTTAATGAGATCATACGAGACGGTCTCTTCTTCCTCGGTTTTGGGCAACAGTTTGGAGAAGGGTGAGTTCATCTGTCGTCCAAAGAACAGTTCTGCCGGTGACTTTTGGCCTGGTGCTGATGTACATGGCGTATAACGATAACTGTGAAAGGAATTCGTACAGCATTTTCTTCCAGTTCGTCGGGTCCTTGGTTATAGCTCTTTTTATTGTGTCAACCATCCTCTCGACTTGACCATTAGATTGTGGGTGGTTGACCGGAGATAGTAAGTGGGTGATCTGTAAATCCTTGCAAAGATTGGCGAATAATCCTGAAGTGAATTGAGTGCCATGGTCACTAACCAAGACTTCTGGTGGTCCGTATCTGGAAAAGGTTTCATGGCACAGCTCAACTGTGCGATTCGCGGAGATTGTAGGTGTGATGGCCACATCGAGGAACTTGGAATATGCGTCCACGAAGATGAGAAGGTACTGGCCGTCGATTGGACCAGCAAAGTCGATGTGCATGCGTTCCAGTGGTCTCCTGGGAGTAGGCCATGGGCTGAGGGGTACCTGTAACGGTATCCTGCGTGTTAACGCACAAGCGTTGCATTGTTGAACAAGGTGTTCGATATCATTGGACATTTTCGGCCAATAGACATATTCCCTAGCCAGCTGTTTCATTCTCCGGATACCTGGATGAACCTTATGGAGAGCTGCTAAGATTTCTGGTTGCATTGACTTTGGTATGATAACTCTGTCCCCGAGCAGTAGTGTTTCGTCCACCGTGCTAAGGTTGTCGTGGCGTTTTCTATAGTGCTCCACGATTTCCGTTCCAGGGGCGGTCTTCCAGCCACTTGCAATGGCTTTCATGACTGTTACGAGGTCTTTGTCCGCTTTGGTTGCGGTTTTTAGTTTGTCGCGTAGATTTTTCCCGAAAGAGTCGATTGATAGGTTCCTAATCTGTTGGAATTCTAGTTCCACTGTTCGAATAGTAGCTACTTGGATTTCATCAATATTATCTCGGCGAAATTTGTCTATCAGACGCGACAGTGCGTCCGCTTGTCCAAAATCTTCTGTCCGGATGTATTCAATCTGGAAATCGTAGCCTAGGAGTCGTATGGCCCATCTCTTGAGTCGCGCGGCTGTTGTAGGTTTCAAACCCTTAGTGTTTTCAGTCTGGAGAAGCGCGACGAGCGGTTTGTGATCCGTCAACAGTATGAACCTTCGTCCCCACAGGAATTTGTGGAAACGCTCGATAGTAGTGACGAGAGCTAGGGCCTCTTTTTCCAGTTGAGAGTAGCCTCGCTGCGTATCTGTAAGACTTTGCGACATGTGGTACACGGCTCGTTCGTGCCCACTCGAATCTCGCTGCAGTAGAACACCTCCTATTCCTGTAGAACAGGCATCCACTGCGACGAGGATTTTCGACGGGTCGTAGTGTTCTAGAAGAAGTGGACTCAGCATGGTTTTCTTGATCTGTTCCATCGCTAGATCATGCTGGTGATTCCAGATCCAGGGTCGGTTTTTTCGGGTCAGGTCCTCCAAAGGTTGTTTGATCTGGTGTAAATGAGGGATGAATTTCCCGTAGTGATTTACTAGACCAAGTAAGCTTTGCGTTTCAGCGACATTTGTAGGTTTAGGCATGTTTGCTATGGCGCGGGTGGCCTCCGGGTCGGCCGATATGCCTTTTGCGTTTATAATTAAGCCAAGGAATTTGATTTCCTCTAGCGCAAGACTGCATTTCTCGAGTCTTAATTTCCAACCTCTTTCCTCGAGGCGTTGAAAAGTTTTACGTAGGCGTAGATCATGTTCTTGGCGGTTGGAACCTGTGACTATGATGTCATCAATGTAGACGTGTGTTCCTTCTAACCCTGTTAGAGTACTATCCATAGCCTGTTGAAACATGGCGGGTGCTATCTTGATCCCAAATGGTAGCCGTTTGAATCGGAAAAGACCCTTCGGAGTGGTAATGGTTGTAACATCTCGATGATCTTCGGCGATCTCGAGTTGAAAAATGCATCACTAAGGTCGAGCACGCTGAAAAAATGGCTTCCGTTGAGTTTGGCAATAACGTTCTCTACATATGGAAGTGGATGTCGATTGTTGACTAAGGCGCAATTCACACCAGTGGAATAGTCTGCGCATAGACGCATTTTGCCGTTATGCTTCCTTACGATGACGATTGGTGTTGCCCAATTGGAAGATTCCACGCGTTCGATTATCCCTTCTGCTTCTAGTCGTTGTAGTTCTTCTTCGAGAGGTCTTTCCATGGCGTACGGAATTGGTCTGCATGGAGCTTGCACACTTCGTGCGTCCTTAACGAGATCGAATCTGACTTGGTGGTTGCGACATTTCCCCAGTCCGTCGGAGAAAAGGTTAGGGAAGCTTTTGGGTAGCTCGTTTTGATAGGTGTTGAGGGGCGTCCCGACCGATCGATTACCCCCTCCGGAGTCACACGGTTTCGCACGAGAAACGTTGTAAATAGTAGACGCGATAGGTTGCGTGGGAATGCTAGATCGTGTAATTTCTGATACGGTTTCTAGATCCCCGAACGTGTTTAACGGAATGGAACACAAGTCAAGGTTGTCGATTGCGTTTAGACCGAGTAAATTTACACCGACGCGATTGGCTACATGGATGTTTAGTTCTGATTTGCGATCGAGAACTTGTATCTCGCATGTGAATTTACCGATTATTTTGAATTCGCCACCGCCGGCATGTTTGACGGTTTTACTCGCGGCGAGGTTAGGAGATCCGAGTTGCACCCATACGTCCTTGCCGATGATCGTAATGTCTGAGCCTGAGTCGTACTGTAGATACACGATTTTACCGAGCATGCGAGTCGCGACGTACTTTCGACGGCGTTTACCGACCGCGGTTATTGTCTGCGTCACGAGGCTTGCGCTTTCCGCAACGGTGTTCGTGACTTTAGACTCGGATCGGCACACTTTAGCGATATGCCCCTTCTTCGAGCACTTGTGGCATAACGCGTCGCGAACTTCGTTGCTGCGCACTTCGTTGATGCGCACCTCTGCAACCGTTGCACTTCGTCTCGGGTTTCACCGCCGCTGTTGCTGCTGCCGCTGTCGTCGGACGAGCCCGTTTTTTAGCCGTTTTGCCCTTGTATTTAGCGTGAACGGCATTGATAGTTGCTGTCGGCGTGATTGCTGTCGGGTTTTCTAACATTTTTAGACTAGTGGATACGTTCATGTGTGCTTCAAGTTCCGCGACGACGTCCTTGAGCGATGCGTTAGCATTTTTTTCGACTACGCGTAAAGCTATCTTTTTCAGTTCATCGGTTTCACTCGAATAGCAGAATGATTGTAGTAGCAAAAGGATTCTAAGGTTGTCGTCCGTGAGCTTAGCGCGATCAAAATCTGAAGCGTGACGGTTAATACGATCGATGTGTTCTGTGATGGGCACCGATTTATCGTACCGATAGTTTAAGATTTCTATGCGGCGTCGCGTGATGGGCACCTTATCGCGGAAAAGATCCTTTAACGTCTCAATGACTTCGTTCTGCGGCATCGACGTCGGGTTTCGAGGCGCGACGTGATTCACTAACCTGTCGAACTCAGTTTGTCCGATCTTGTCCAGAATAAGACGAGTCTGCATTTCTGGTGGCAGCGACTTTGTCTCCGTGACTACAGTGTATTCATGCCGTTGAAGCCATTTCACGAACGGCTTTGTGTCCTCACCAAGACCGTATGCGTATTTTTCCACGCAGGCACTAAGCTGGTTATAAAGATCGGAATGTGATGTCGTTGGACTTGTTGACGTCTGGTCTTGTTGTCCGTTTCCTTCCGTAGTTGGATCTGCAGCAGCGAATTAATCTCTCTTAATCTCACTTGATTTCCCACACACAGGTTGCTTCGCAGCGCCAGTTGTTAAGATCGGTTTCAGGATCGAATGTGCGGTACGGATCGTGATAGTAAGGCGAGAGTAAGTAGAAGATCTGGTCTCTTTATTTGAGTACAAGGTAGTAGGTTATAGGAATCGTGTGTTTAGCCTCTAGCTGTAGGCTGACGACTGGCCCACCGCTCGCGCAGGCGCCGCACCTTGAGAGTAGCGCGTCCGTCAGCACGGTAGGGCAGCGCGTGTACGTACGCGGGCCCCAACAAAAACAAAGAACAAGTTCAAAAATAACTAAGATCAAATTAATCATTAGATTCACACAATCAAGTCCAAATCCCCGGTAAAGCACTTAAATGTGTTGACCGAAAAACGGACGAAACTTTGACTTTGTCAGATCGTGACAACATCTTAAGACTGCATTTAAGCCTCTCTTAAATATAAGAACGAAATATGAAGACTAACCTAATTTTGTTAGTGAAAGCGAGGCATCGTAACGACTGGCGATAGCTACGTATCGCACTTAGCAAAAATGATTTGTTGCAGTAACTAAGATAATTTCAGCAAAAATCGATTTGTTTTATGAACAAAGTGACGATTGCTCTTACACACGACTTCTTTGCTGCATTAGCAAACTTACTTCTTTAAAACGTTTAATTTTGTCCAGCAAACTATAGATTTGCTGAATCAACTAAATCAGTTTTTCCATGTATGTATACGTTACATTTTGTATTGTATAATATGTTTTACACTTCCGTGTACATGCGGGGCTGCGTTTAGAAACATCACCCAAATGCCCCAGTATATCATTTTATCCTTGTCTGTAAGCAATAAGGATAGAATGATACGCTGGGGTACTTGGGTGGTGTTTCTGAACGCAGCCAAGGGTGTCTGACAAGTAACTAACCAATCGAAAAATGCAAATTGATTGGGTCAAACTGAGAAGATATGCCAGATTAGGCAGGCCAAAGCATTTTATTTCTCAGATCTCTTAGCGACAGTAAATACCGATCGGCTAGCGAGACGTGCAGCGGTGTGTGACATGCTAAAAACAATTGTCATGGCAGCGAGCGGCACCGCGGCGAGGCGCGTGGACAATATGTAGTTCCTCGACGTCGCGCGTGCGAGTACGAGTATCGCCGAAACAATGGGAGCGTTCAGAAAACATAAACAGTTGTGCAAGTGTTGAGTGAGCACTCACTGAGCGATAAGTGATCATGAACAGTGTTATGAACGGTCTTTTTAAGGGTCGCGCGTAATATTTAAAAATATAACCTCTTTATCTTATATAAGTGTTGAAGTGTTTAATCATTAAAATTGATATCATGGATATAAATAATATAATTATATTATTAGATGATGATATTGTAGAGAGAAATAATGTAATAAGATGTGTAATTGAAGAATTTGAAGAACAATTACCAAATAACCTTCATATAGAAGAACGTGGTGTGCGTCAGAAAAATGAAAATTATTATGAACAAATAGTCCCATTATATGACGAACTGTTATTTAAGGAACATTTTAGAATGTCTCGAGCAGCTATAGATGTATGATAATATTATGATGCATTATTATATTATGAAGTATCATAAAGCACAATGTCCAAAATCGAGACATAAGACGTCTTTCCAACTTTGGTCATTATGCTATATGGGAAAATTGCTAGTTAATACAGTATCTTTCAATAATTATGTTAGACTACTATTACAGGAATTAGAAAATATAATTGGTAATGCGATGGGAGGAAACCAGGACCACCCAGTAAAATTAAGAAAAAGAATCTTATTTTCCATATGGATATTGGCAAAACAGGAGAGCTACCTCGCAGTTGGAGATAGATTTGGTTTTGCCAAAAGTACAGGTCATGGAATACTAAAAGAAATTGTGACTGTATTAACTCAACTAATGCCTATTTACAGGGCCGGCGAAACGTCTTCAATCCGAGTGGGTAGTGCAGCGGGGGGAGGGGGGAGGGGAACAGGGCGTTATTATGTTGTTATTATTATATTCGGTTTATTATGTTTTTATGTGTGCAATGCAAAAACCGAAGTTCGCTTAGCATTTCGAGAAATAAATTTGTTCATAAGTATTTCTAAATCGAGCTTATCAACTGCATCTGCGTACGAGTGTAAGATTGCTATGTGATTTAGTCGATCTTGCAACATCGTCGAGCGCAAGTAATTTTTGACCCGTCGTAAAACAGAAAAGCTTCTTTCGTTAGAGCAAGATGACCCTGGAATAGTCATAAGTAATCGAATAAAGCGCAAATATTCTGGAACAAGTCCCATGCACCAATCTCTTTCGCGCATGAATTCCACAACATCTTTCAAACTTTGCGGATTCTTTCCTTTTCGTTTCATAATACTTAAAGCCATATCTTTATCACTTACTAATCTGAATTCATCAAAATCTCCCTTATAAAAGGTGACAATTTTTTTCACGTCCACTGCTTCACCGACGACGAAACGTTCTAAAGTTTTAAAAAACTTGGCTGAGTCAGTATCAAAGCGACTTTTTAAAGAGCACATAATTTGGTCAAATACTTCATAATATATCTTTCGATAATAGTCTTCTGGGGTCTGGAAAACATGACTTTCGACTTTGCTATTGTCTATTCGCTTGGAAATTTTGCGTTTTCGAGGCAAATTTGGTTCTTCAATGTCAAATTCTTTGGAAAGCTTGTCACTATTCAGCCAAATTGATTCAAACTTAGAATCGCGGGAAGCATCCAACGAATAAGTCACAGCTTCTATTTTACGACATGAATCTACTACGCAAAGCTCTGAATTTTGAAGATCTCTGTTAAGAATTTCAATCCGATCATAAATCTCAACCATCATATTCAAAAAAAACAAAAACTTAAATGATTCCATGCGCTCTAAAAATCTTGAAGCTTTGGCAACGATAGTGCTGTCGACTTCTCGATCCTTAATCAACTCTTGAAAAAAGGACATCAACATTTTATAGTTGGCCAAGACAGTTTTCAAAGATTTTATTCGCACTACCCATCTGGAACAATAGATAACAATGATTTGTGAATTAACTTTAGAATGTGATTCAAAATCTTACTTTGTTGGACAGTATGCTACAAGAGCGGGAACATCTTTCTCATTTTCTTCTTTTTCAGCAGCTTGTAAGTTCTGGAATTTGCTGATTCGTTTCGGCGAATCCCGTACGAAGTTTATCATATCTTTCACTTCTCCAATGAATTTTCTTGCTTCAAGCACTTTCTCTATTCCATCTTGAACAACAAGGTTAAGGTTATGAGCATTGCAGTGGACAAAAAGTGCTCGGGGTTCTTCGTCTTGAATCCGTTGTTGCAATCCCGAGATTTTTCCGGAAACATTCGCAGCTCCATCATAGCATTGACCTCTAAGTTTACAGAGCGGTAAATCAAAACGAACAAGCACATCCTTGACGATATCAAATAATGTTTGTGCTTTCGTATTTGCTGTCGAATAGAAACCCATGAAATACTCTGAAGCGATAAGATCTGAAGAGATGGCCCGGAAATAAATAGAAACTTGCTCTGTTCTAGCTATGTCCGCTGTTTCATCCAGAAGTACAGAAAAATATTCGGAATTTTTTATCTCGCATATATTTCCCAACATAATTTCTGTAGCCATCGCTTGTACTATTTCGTCCTGGATGTCGTGGTGTAACCATTTATGACCAGTTCTTTTCAGCCAGGATTCGAGCTCCACAACATCTTCTGCTCTCGCTTTCAAAATTGTCATGAAATTCGAATTTTCGTCATTGCCCGTTCCGCGTATCGCCAGTCCTTGCCTTCCGAGGATTCTTAAAGTACTAAAAATTTTTCTCAAGGCCGTGCGATGATCCATCATTTCCTTTTGTAATGAAGTTGATGAATGCTGCACAACGTTAACTTTGCCACAATTTTTCAAAATTTCTGCGCAATTAATGTGAAGCGAACTCTTCGAATGGTTTTTTATCCTTTCCGCTCCATGTTTCCAATTGCCGAACCCATTGTCCACCCACGTTTCTTTCGATCGTAGATCGTACGAGGTGAAATAAATCACTAATTTCTTATTGCACGCTTCAGTACATATGGTACAAATTATTTGATCAAGTTCGTTTAGACCAAGCCAGGAATTGTTTAGTTTCCAGCGTTGGTACACTTGTGGAACTTCCGAATGTGCGGCACTTTTCTCTAAAAATATATCTGAATTAAAAACTTGATTTGGAAATTAAGATACTTTGTTGATTTAATCATTCTTTCTATATTTTTTACTCACGAGCAACAGAATCAATCACTTTTGAGGTTAGATCCGATGCACTCGCAGATTGCTGTGTTTCTGCTTGACGCTCTATACTGGAAGAATCATCAGTTTCGTCGTTCGCCCTTTTACCTCGAACCCCTCGGACAACAAACCGCTCCATTCTCGTGTCTCTTTTCTGCACTCGGGCTCACGTCACGCATCAGACCATTTTCCCTCTCTTTTCACGGTCACGAAGTGAGTTCGAGTCGCTGCCGAATAAAGCCGACTAGATACGACTCGATAGATCGATCCGAATCGATGTATTTATGCGCGTATACACGCGCGCGGATATTATAAAAGTAAAAAACGACCATTGGTCTGATTTTTCTTGCTCAAATTTTCGAGTGGGTAATTACCTACCTACAGATATTCCATGTGGGTAGTACTACCCACCGTACCCACCTCTTCCGCCGGCCCTGCCTATTTATATAGCTTGGCCTGATAGAGAAAGGTGCAGAATCTCGTCCACTGTAAGATATGAATTAAAACATACATTAGCAATAATTAAACATTTTATACAGATCTACGTGTTAAATGGAATAAATACAGATTAGATAATGTTTCTTTTACATTTTGTACTAATACAATTGAATACTTTTAGATTTTTGAGGAACGTTCACATGGTTTTCCAGGCATTGTAGGTGCAATTGATGGTTGTCATATATCATGTAAGGCACCTCAACACAATGCCAATGATTTTTATAATAGAAAAAGTTCTCACATTCTATTATCTTACAAGGTAATTATTTAATATATTTGTCACTTTTTATTGTTAATTTTCTAAATATTATATAATACATTATAAACATTATTTTCATTATTGTTAGGTATATGTGATCATAATGCATGTTTTATTAGCATATACATTGGGTTACCAGGACGTATGCACGATGCTGCAGTATTTAGATATAGTGATGTATATAGACAATTAACAAATGCAGCAGACCCACTGTTGCCATCGCAATTACATATAATTGGGGATGCAGCATATCCTTTATTACAAAATCTAATGACACCATTTAGAGACACTGGACATTTAACGAGAGCTCATGTGACTTATAATAACAAGTTATCATCTGTTCGCAGTATAATAGAAAGAGCATTTGGTCTCTTAAAAGGAAAATTTA